ATAGCAAGATCAAGTATTTTTCCTGAAAAACCTGTTCAAATACAAATGGAATACACACAGGAACCATGGGGAAACATCAGTTACAAGTGTCAATGAGAGTTCTCCTTTTGCCTGGCTTTCTAGGCCTACAGCCTCAAACCCCCAAAGCTCTCATATTTCTCCCCTAATTACTAGCATAAGACTAAATCCAAGTAAGCTGATGTGCAGAAAGGTATCTTCTATCTCTGGGTAATCAAGGTCATTAAGTCAGTATTCAAGCGAGATAGGCCTTACAGAGAGTCAGTATTGCTGCAAAGACCATCCTTGAGTCATGGCCTCATCAGATCATAATAAATAGCTCCTTGTTTACTGAAGTGAGGTACAAGCAAAGATGCTGATGGGGCATTAATCAAGACCTTATGGGAACCTCACTAAACTCTTAAGGGAAGACTAGCAACCCCTCTGGGAGTGACCAGTCCCTGGGATAACTACCACACCAAACAAATCCCTCCTCCCCCGCTCCCCCCCCCCCCAAAAAAAAAAAAATCACCACCACCAAAACAACAAACCAAAAAAACCCATCCCAACAAAACAGATAAACACTACCCCCAAAACCACAGCTGAATGCTGTAAAAAATCCAAAGGACTTTTACCAGGCTCAGACGACACATTCAATAGAAGTGCTGAAGTGTTCCCTGACAGCTCACAGTAGTTGTTACTAGCAGGGTAACAGCTTCTAACAACTGGTAACAACTTCTACCTATTGGTCACAAGTCTCAGGCAAGAGGAGGAATTTGGACTCTTCACTTAAACTTTTGAGTTTAAACCCTAAATAAAGAGGAGGGAACATGCATTAAACCAAACAAAAACACAAGAACAACAACAACAAAATACAACCAACCAACCAATACACCACACCAAAACCCCTCAAACTCTTAACAAAACCAGAGGCCTTTCCACATAGTTCACACAAAATAAGAGTCCAATATAAATAACTTTCAAATAGTTCAGCACAAGCACTTGAAGACACTAGCTTCTGGATTAGGGTTAATTAATTGTTCATTTGTTAGAGGCTGCCATGGAATATATGATGACCCAATCTGCTGTGAAAATATTTAAGAGGTTTCTGGTGATTGCAGTTTTAGTGTTTGTTTTAATATACAGATGAACTTTAACAAAACAACATTTCTTTTACAATATGCAGTTTATTTAAACTATGTTATGAGAATGCCCAGTTACATCTGTAAAAAACTGAATCCATCAAAAATTCTTATTAATAAATTCCATGTTAAGCAAGAGTTATTAAATATTATTATGAGGCAGTGTACACTTAGCAAGTATTCTATAAACAGAGGTTATACCACTCTGGCTTGGAACATGAGAACTATAAAAGTCTGAAAAAATCATCTGTATATGTCACTTTTGCAGTTTTGATACCGCATTCAGAAGTAAACCAAGTCACATCAATTACCGCATGTTCTAGGAGCAGTCTATTTTAAAATAGCTCTTAAAAATAAATTACAATGTCTAAAGTGAACAGGTGACCAGCCATATAACAAGATCAACTAAAATAAATAATTTACAATAGAAATTGTTGCTAGCACTAAATCATACAAAAACAATTATTGCATTTAGCTCTGCACAGAAAAAATACCTTTTCTCATAGCAACGTGAACTCCTATAGATGCTATATCTATACTACCATCCTCTTTCAGCTGAAAAGTGTAAACCACTAATTTTGTGCTAGAGCTGCAAAAATATTATAATTTATTCACTTTAAAAAATATTTAGAGTAAGTTATCACCAACTAATACTAATTTCTAGGAACCTTCAAATCTTAAGGATCTTAACCTTAACATCAGCTGGCTGACATGTAATTTCACATTTATTCTGAATTCAAAACATCAGACAACTCCTCACAGATAGTTCTCCTTAAAAAAGGGAATCAAGGAAGGTTAAAAGAGATTAGAGAATTCAAATAAGAACTTAAGTAGCAATGAGGCCCTCTTTTTTCTTCAAATCTCAGGAACTTGGCTGCTGTCAAGGCCCACTGAGGTGATGTAGCAGAAGTTGCTATCATCTAGATGTACAAAAACTAGCTGGAAGTAACTCAGTCCTTCCGTACTCTTCTTTTGCGCACTGATTTCAGTGGACTATCTCCATAACCTGTGTCTTCGTTAGCTTCTTTCACCTGGGGGGGCAACCAAAAAAATCAGCATTAAAATTTTAAACCAGTTTTGATTATCACAACTGGCATACTACTTTATCCCCCTTCCCCTCACCCCCATCGTGTCACTAAATGCAACACTTCAGCGATAGGACATTATTTTCCCTAATACTAATCTATCAATAAATAAAGTAGGTGGAAGACTTTTTCTTTCTATATGCAGAAGGAAGAGACCAGTACATCAAAAACAATGTCAGGAATCTGGTTTTGCCCATTTACTGCCTGGTTTAAAAGCAGACAATGCATTGCTTTCTCACTTCCCTGCATCACCTAAGGGTAAGCACCTCATTTAGAAGTAACAGCTCACAGACTGTGGCGCAACCTGAGTGAGAATATGGCATGTATGATATCTCCCAAGTAGGTCACCAAGTAACTCATGACTGAAATTTGTACACCCTGAAAATACCCTGAGAGGAGCAACACATAACCTCACTGTGACAGCAGGTAATGGCATACACACAGATACTGTTACGTTCACAGAGTCACATGCATCTTGGTGGATTCATCAGATACTGTGTTCCCAGGTAAGTTTAAGGGAAAAAAGACCCCAAACTTCTTAAAGGAAGAAGAGGAAGTACTGAATAAGAGGTAATTAATGGAGAATTTCAGTGCTGAAGCAATGCAACCTCATGTAAGGTACAGTTTCTCAGAGGACTTCTATATGAAAAGGAGTTAAGGTTACATTAAACAACTCCTCTAATCTGGGAAGGGACTCATTTAGGGAGTGGCAAGCACAGGATGACCAACAGAAATACTGTGGGTGGATCTAAATGATCTCAGACATACCAGTGTGACTAAATGAAAGGATAATGAGCAGTTGACAAGCAAGAAAAGCACACACAAATTCCATTCTACAATGTAATTTTCTGAAAAACATTTTACAGATTATCTGGTGACTGATTAACCTGCACAAGAGAAATGGAACTGCAGGTGCTGAATTCAAGACCAGTATGGGTCATTTTGATTAAACCCCTATTTTTTTTTAACAACAACAACAAAAAAAGTCTCACTGAAAGGCTATTTGTTTAGAATCACATGTTCCACCAGTTAAGTAGCATAATATAAAGAGATTGAAATCTGCTGCAGCAGCCAAATTTAAGACTTGATTCATTTAATAACTTGTTAAAAACTATACTCCTGTAAAAAAGTTTCATGTTTAGAGACCTGCATGATCATTTCATACTATACCTGTATTTTACAATAAATATCACCTCTTAGCCAAAATTACACAGGAAGAGAAATGTTTCACAAACCTATAGAGAGCAGTTGAGGTGTCCAACTCAAACATAACATCCCCCCTCATGATTTATGTCTTAACAAAAGAAAAACTCTTGTGGGTAACTGAGCTTAGTTAGAAGAGTGATGTTGGATAAGGACAAAGCAAAAATAGGGAAAAAAACCTCACAACCTTACCTCATCTTCTGAACTAGATTTATTTGACTTATCACCTTCTTCTTGACTTGTATCTGCAATGTCATTTTTTTCTCCTCCACCCTCATCTTCTGCAGAAGAAACTAGTTTTACTTGGTAAACAGAACTATATTAAAAATGTACTATTTCCAGAAACACCAGTAAGGAAGGGAGCCAATCTCAAGTCTTAGAATGAACTGCTAGTTTACAATAACCCTTAAAAACATCTCTAATACAGAGAGCAGAATTCTCATTATTCAGTAGAAACTGATCACTGTTGGATTTACTAACTAATTTTAACAGCTTTGGCATTCTCTCTTTTCATGATAGCATGTACTTTCAGACTTTTAATTGACCAACTAAAATGACAACTTTCAGTTGGTTTCTGTCAGGGAAAAAAAAACCCAAAAAACAAAAAAAAACCACGGAGCAGCTTTCAGTATTTCACATCTACTGTATTTTCAGGCTTTATCAAGAATTACTAAAATCAGTGACCAATAGAATAATTCAAGGTACAACCCTCCCACAGACAGGATGAAAGACTTATGTTAAAGACTTAATGTGTCTGTAATAGCTTATAAGGTACGTGTATCTGAACCATTCAGATATGTTCAATATATGGAAAATTCAGAACTGAGAAAATACACATCATTGTCTACAAACACACAAAGACTGGTGGAAGCCCATTAATTTCCTAAAAGTGAAAAATACTGAGAAGACTTTCCCCTTATATTTATCAAAGAACTATTAGCTATGGAATGTTACTTGCTGGAGGTTGTTAAAGACAAAAAGATGACTCAGAGCATGGCAGGTTATGCATATTCAAAGATAACTGTAATTATTGGCAATGCAATCCAAAAAATAGTCCTATTCATATATTTACAATCAAACAGCAAGCGGGCTTGCTCATCTTACCATCTTCAGCAGTATCTTCATTTCCTTTTTCTTCTTCTAATTGTATTTCATCATCGTCTAACTCCTCTCCCTCTTGGTCTAGTTCTCCTTTTGTAATTGGCTTAGATATATCAGGTTTTTTAAAGTCAATATCTTCATCTGGTTTCTACAACAAAACTCAATTTACACTTAAACTAAGAATTAAACAAAAGCCACTGTAAGCTAAGTAATATCAATGGCCCATTGAAAGGGCGTACTGTTACACAGATGATCATAGTTTTCAAATAAAGTATTAAGAGTAAAATCAAATAAAAATGTAGTAGGTTTCTCTTACCTTTGTTGGCCAGCAGAACAACACCCCTAGACCAACAGGGAGAGCGAAAGTCAAGATGTAAAGAACCCAGAGCCATGGGTGGTCTTCTGCAGCAGTCACCGGTTGACTAAACATACCAGGCTACATTAAAAACAATTATTAATTTTGCATTTACATCCCTCTCAACACTTAAGTTTACAAAGCATACTGTAAATATTTTTAGCTTTATGTTGCCTAAAGAAAACCCTTCTTTACCTCTTTTAATGACTAAAACAATATTGGACTTTAATACTAGTAAAGTATAACTTGACAGACCGCAAATGAATAGCAGGTGTTAAGTAAGAAGGAACAAATCTGGTACTCCAAATGTACCAGACTGGCCACTAGTCAATTTTGCAAAGCAACATTTGGAGTCTTGGCAAGCTCACATTTCACACCCTTCCCAGCTACTTTGTTTTTATCCTATACTGTGCTAACTCAGCTGGAAGCTCCCAAAGCATCCAGAACCTCGGAGCAGTGTCATGCTCCATCTGTACTACCATGTTCTCTCTTTTGACTGCCAATTATTCAGGGAGTAAACTGTCCTCCCAGCCCAGCTCTGACTTATATAGTAGAGGGGCGTAGGTAGGCCAAGTGACTGGTCCAGCAAGACCCCTGGAAAAGAGTACATCAGAAACAAAGTCAGGAAGTTTGAGAGGCACAGGGCACAGCGGAGTGAGAGGACTCAAAGGGAATATTTTTGCTGTTGTGTGTATAGGCATACATACAGGTCCAGACATAAAACCATATATTTCAAAAAAGGGCAAGATTTCAAAAAAGCATTGACTTCATGGACACATTGACCAACAGCATCCTATGGACACCTTCTCCACCCCATCCCAACACCAAGGTGGGACCATGAAGACCCCATAGATGGGCAACCCCACTCCCCCCCCATATCAATGCTCTGGGCCTTGTTGTTGGAGGACACCAAGGTGGGTTTGGTCCCCTCCATGATGGTGCAAAGCATTCTGGGTGACCCCAAAGTGGACAATAGATGTGCCTCATGGTGGGGTCAACAGGTCCTATATAGTGGGGTCAACAGGTCCTATAGTGGGGTCAACAGGTCTACCCCATGGTAGGGCCAACAGGTCAACCCCAGCTCTGTATCGAACCCATGGTCAATGGGGTCCCCATTAGGGCCAACAGGTCAACCCCAGCTCTGTATCGAACCCATGGTCAATGGGGTCCCCATTAGGACCAACAGGTCAACCCCAGCTCCGTATCTACCCCATGGTCAATGGGGTCCCCATTAGGGCCAACAGCTCAACCCCAGCTCTGTATCTACCCCATGGTCAATGGGGTCCCCATTAGGGCCAACAGCTCAACCCCAGCTCTGTATCTACCCCGTGGTCAATGGGGTCCCCATTAGGGCCAACAGGTCAACCCCAGCTCTGTATCTACCCCATAGGGTCCCCATTAGGGCCAACAGCTCAACCCCAGCTCTGTATCTACCCCATGGTCAATGGGGTCCCCATTAGGACCAACAGGTCAACCCCAGCTCTGTATCTGCCCCATGGTCAATGGGGTCCCCATTAGGGCCAACAGCTCAACGCCAGCTCCGTATCTACCCCATAGGGTCCCCATTAGGGCCAACAGGTCAACCCCAGCTCCGTATCTACCCCATGGGCAAGGGGGTCCCCATTAGGGCCAACAGGTCAACCCCAGCTCTGTATCTACCCCATGGTCAATGGGGTCCCCATTAGGGCCAACAGCTCAACCCCAGCTCTGTATCTACCCCATGGTCAACGGGGTCCCCATTAGGGCCAACAGGTCAACCCCAGCTCTGTATCTACCCCATGGTCAATGGGGTCCCCATTAGGGCCAACAGCTCAACCCCAGCTCCGTATCTACCCCATAGGGTCCCCATTAGGGCCAACAGCTCAACCCCAGCTCTGTATCTACGCCATGGTCAATGGGGTCCCCATTAGGGCCAACAGCTCAACCCCAGCACTGTATCTACCCCATAGGGTCCCCATTAGGGCCAACAGCTCAACCCCAGCTCCGTATCTACCCCATAGGGTCCCCATTAGGTCAACCCTAAAGCCTATGGAGGACCTTCTGCCCCTATGAACCTCTGGACACCAGAGGCCACCTCTTGCCCATGTCCAGCAGTAGAAGACGTGGTCCAAAGCCACGTCCATCAGCTCTTTATTCATCCAGCATCATCTCCATAGGGTCCTTATGGTGGAGCCCTACCTGCTCCTCACCCAGCGCTCGGACCGGCCGGCTCTGGGGGGACCTTCCCCTATGGAGGAGAAGCTTTGGGGTGGCTCCATCCCATGGGCCAGGGTGAGGATGGGTGGGGAGCTCTCACTTCCTCCTCATGGTCTCCTGAAGCCACCGCGTGTACTTGCAGAGGTTGACGTAGACCCCGGGCTTCTTGGGGTCCCCACAGACACCGGGACCCCAAGAGACGATGCCTTGGAGGCGCCCATCGCACATCAGAGGTCCCCCGGAGTCACCCTGATGGGGGCCATGGAGGACAATGAGGTCCCCAATGGAGCCAACCAATGGGAACTCCTCCCATCCCAGGACCTCCTCCATGGGTCCACCAATGGCCATGGACCCACCTGGCAGGAGTCGGCCCGGCTGCGGGATTCACCGGCGCAAACCATGTTGGTGGTGATGGAGTCGGGGTAGATGCGGTGGCATTGGTCCTGCGGGATGATGGTCACCTTGGTGCAATGGAGGTCCTCGGGGAAGGTCACTGTGAGGGGTGGAGAGGCCATGGTGGAGATATGGACCTGAGCATCCAATGTGGACCTCATTGGAGCATCCATTGGTGGTACCCAACGGGGGCTCCAGAGCTCCTTGAGATCCTCCTTGGGTGATGGAGGAGATGGGGTCACCCATGGTGGAGATATGGACCTGAGCATCCAATGTGGACCTCATTGAGCATCCATTGGTGGTACCCAATGAGGGCTCCAAAGCTCCTTGAGGTCCTCCTTGGGTGATGGAGGAGATGGGGTCACCCATGATGGAGATATGGACCTGAGCATCCAATGTGGACCTCATTGAGCATCCATTGGTGGTACCCAATGGGGGCTCCAAAGCTCCTTGAGGTCCTCCTTGGGTAATGGAGGAGATGGGGTCACCCATGATGGAGATACAGACCAGAGCATCCAATGTGGACCTCATTGAGCATCCATTGGTGGTACCCAATGGGAGCTCCAAAGCTCCTTGAGGTCCTCCTTGGGTGATGGAGGAGATGGGGTCACCCATGATGGAGATATGGACCTGAGCATCCAATGGGGACCTCATTGAGCATCCATTGGTGGTACCCAACGGGGGCTCCAAAGCTCCTTGAGGTCCTCCTTGGGTGATGGAGGAGATGGGGTCACCCATGATGGAGATATGGACCTGAGCATCCAATGGGGACCTCATTGAGCATCCATTGGTGGTACCCAATGGGAGCTCCAAAGCTCCTGGAGGTCCTCCTTGGTTGATGGAGGAGATGGGGTCACCCATGATGGAGATATGGACCTGAGCATCCAACCCAGACCCAATGTGGACCTCATTGGAGCATCCATTGGTGGTACCCAACAGGAGCTCCAAAGCTCCTTGAGGTCCTCCTTGGGTGATGGAGGAGATGGGGTCACCCATGATGGAGATATGGACCTGAGCATCCAATGTGGACCTCATTGGAGCATCCATTGGTGGTACCCAACAGGGGCTCCAAAGCTCCTTGAGGTCCTCCTTGGGTGATGGAGGAGATGGGGTCACCCATGATGGAGATATGGACCTGAGCATCCAATGGGGACCTCATTGAGCATCCATTGGTGGTACCCAATGGGAGCTCCAAAGCTCCTTGAGGTCCTCCTTGGGTGATGGAGGAGATGGGGTCACCCATGATGGAGATATGGACCTGAGCATCCAATGTGGACCTCATTGAGCATCCATTGGTGGTACCCAACGGGAGCTCCAAAGCTCCTTGAGGCCCTCCTTGGCCACCCAAGTTGGGTGATGGAGGAGATGGGGTCACCCATGGTGGAGATATGGACCAGAGCATCCAACATGGACCTCATTGGAGCCCATCCACCCTCTTGGTGGCACCCAATCCCTTCTTGGTGTCCTCACCATGGCCGAACATCACCCAACCTTCCCCTATATCCCCATAGGGATGTGACCCCCATGACGAGAACCCCCTCTATTTGGACCCCCATGCTTCCTACCTTCTGGGCTGGTGGTGGACCCCCATCCTGAGATCTGACACGTCTTACCGGGCACGGGGCAATGGGTGGCCAATGGCAAGGGCTTCACCTGCTTGTTGATGTGGATGGGGAGGTGGAGCCTGATGAGCATGAGGTCCCCATCCTTGTTGGTCTCGTTGTACCAGGGGTACTTGAAGACCATGGCCGAGTGCCTCCTCTGCTCGGGCCCATTGGAGTCCTTGTGGCGCCGGCCCCCCAACCGCACGTTGATGAAGCTGATGGGACCCCATGGTTATGGTGATGGTGATGGCTCCCAGTTAGACCCCCATTGACAGCACAGCCCTAGCCCCATAGAGGAACCCCTAAATCAGAGCTGAGCTCCACCCCGCCCCATAGAACCCAAAGGCAATGGGGTCCTACCCGGGGACGTGGCAATGGGCGGCCGTCAGCACCCAGCTCCTGTCCACCAGGGTCCCACCACAGATGAAGCGGTCGCCTTTGAAGAGGGCGGCTTGCCAAGGGAGGTCACAGGAGGTGCCCTCGATCACCCATAGGACGTTCCTTGAGGCTATGGGGGGGCAATGGGGAGGGGTGGAAGGGAGATACTGGGATCACTGGGACAGCACTGGTGGGGGTGGTCCCAGTCCCACATCTTCAAGCCCCTCTGGATGAGGAGGTGAAGGAGGGGTGGAAGAGGCCGCATTGATGCGGGGCATATTGGGAGGGCCATGGGGTCAATGGGGGTCAGTGGGGTCAATGGGGTTCAATGGGGTCAATGGGGGGCCATGGGGTCAATGGGGGTCAATGGGGTCAATGGGGGGTCAATGGGGTCAATGGGGGTCCATGGGGTCAATGGGGGTCAATGGGGTCAATGGGGGTCCATGGGGTCAATGGGGGTCCATGGGGTCAATGGGGGTCCATGGGGTCAATGGGGTCAATGGGGGTTCATGGGGTCAATGGGGGTCAATGGGGGGTCAATGGGGTCAATGGGGGTCCATGGGGTCAATGGGGTCAATGGGGGTTCATGGGGTCAATGGGGGGCCATGGGGGGTCAATGGGGTCAATGGGGGTCAATGGGGTCAATGGGGGGCAATGGGGTCAATGGGGTCAATGGGGTCAATGGGGGTCAATGGGGTCAATGGGGGTCAATGGGGTCAATGGGGGTCAATGGGGTCAATGGGGTCAAGGGCGGGAGGTCCATAGGATGGGGGCCTATAGGGACAATGAGGGGAGATCCATAGGGTCAATAGGGGGAGATCCATAGGGAGGATGGGGGTCAATGGGGGTCCATGGGGTCAATGGGGGTCCATAAGGACCTATGGGGCCCAGGTGATGTCCTACCGGTGGCTTCCAGTGCCAGGAGCATCAGGAGCAGGAGCCTCATACCGGAGCACCGGGAGCTGGGGGGAGATGTGGGGTTGGGATGGGGACAGGGAGCAATGGGGCCCATGGGGAGAGAGGGGTGAGGGGGGGGGGGAAGGGGAAAATGGGGGGGGGAAGGAGGGAAAAGAAGGAGGAAAGAAGGGGAAAAAAGGGGAAAAAAGGAGAAAAAGAGGGGGAAAAAAGAAGGGAAAGAAGGAAAAAAGAAGGAAATAAAGAAGAAAAAAAGAAGGTGAAAAGGAAAAAAAGAAGGAAAAAAGAGAGGAAAAAAGAAGGAAATAAAGAAAAACGAAGGGAAAAATAAGGGAAAAATGAAGAAAAAAAATAAGAAAAAGAAGGAAATACAGAAGAAAAAAGAAGGTAAAAAGGAAAAAAAGAAGGAAAAAGAGGAAAAAAGAAGGAAATAAAAAAGAAAAAAGGGAAAAAAGAAGGAAATAAGAAAAAAGAAGGTAAAAAGAAGGGGGAAAAAGAAGGAAAAAGAAGGAAAAAAAAGAAAGAAATAAAGAAGAAAAAAAAGAAAAAAGAAGGAAATAAGAAAAAAGAAGGTAAAAACAAGGAAAAAAAGAAGGAAAAAAGAGGAAAAAAAGAAGGAAAAAGAAGGGAAAAAGAAGGAAATACAGAAGAAAAAAGAAGGGAAAAAGAAGGGAAAAAAGAAGGAAAAAAGGGGAAAAAAGAAGGAAATAAAGAAGAAAAAAAGAAAGGAAATAGAAGAGGAAAAAAGAAGGAAAAAGAAATGAAAAAAGAAGGAAAAAAGAAAGGGAAAAAAAAAGGAAAAAAGAAGGAAATAAAGAAGAAAAAAACAAAGTAAAAAGAAGGAAAAAAAAGGAAAAAAAGAGGAAAAAAGAAGGAAAGAAAGAATAAAAAAAAGAAGGTAAAAAGAAGGGAAAAAAAGAAGGAAAAAGAAAGGAAAAATGAAAGAAATAAAGAAGGAAAAAAAAGAGGGAAAAAGAAGGAAATAAAGCAGAAAAAAAAAGGTAAAAAGACGGGAAAAAAAAGAAGGAAAAAAGGAAAAAAAGAGGGAAGGGAGGCTGGGAAAAGGGGGAAGGAGTGGAGAGGGGGAAGGGAAAAGGGGGATGGGAAAAGAGGGGGATGGGGAAAGGGGGGGAAGGGAAAAGGGGGGGAAGGGAAAAGGGATGGGAATGGGGAAAAGGGGGAAGGGAAAAGGGGGATGGGAAAAGAGGGGGATGGGGAAAGGGGGGGAAGGGAAAAGGGGGGGAAGGGAAAAGGGATGGGAATGGGGAAAAGGGGGATGGGAAAAGGATGGGAAAAGAGGGGGATGGGAAAAGGGGGGGAAGGGAAAAGGGGGGGAAGGGAAAAGGGGGATGGGAGAAGGGGGATGGGCAGAGGAGGGTTGTGAATGGAGGGGAAGAGGGGAAGGGGGAAGGGAAGGGGTGGGAATGGGGCTGGGAATGGGGCTGGGACCGGGCCCCGCGTCCCTACCGGGGCGGGAGCGGCTCCTCCGCGTCTGCTCCGGGCTCCGCTCCTCCGGGCCCTTTTATGTGGGGCTGGAGCAGGAAGAGGCTCCCCCGCCCTCGGCCCATCCCGGAACCTTCCTATGGGAGCAGGGGATGGGGACGTCCAATGGGAACGGGTCCATGGTGGGGTCCAGGGATGGGGATGGCCAATGGGAACGGGTCCATGGTGGGGTTCAGGGATGGGGATGGCCAATGGGAACGGGTCCGTGGTGGGGTCGTCCAATGGGAATGGGTCCATGGTGGGGTCCAGGGATGGGGACGTCCAATGGGAACGGGTCCACGGTGGGGTCCAGGGATGGGGATGTCCAATGGGAACGGGTCCATGGTGGGGTCCGGGGATGGGGATGTCCAATGGGAACGGGTCCATGGTGGGGTCGTCCAATGGGAACGGGTCCATGGTGGGGTCCAGGGATGGGGATGTCCAATGGGAACGGGTCCATGGTGGGGTCGTCCAATGGGAACGGGTCCATGGTGGGGTCCAGGGATGGGGATGTCCAATGGGAACGGGTCCATGGTGGGATGCAGGGATGGGGATGTCCAATGGGAACAGGTCCATGGTGGGGTCCAGGGATGGGGATGTCCAATGGGAACGGGTCCATGGTGGGGTCGTCCAATGGGAACGGGTCCATGGTGGGGTCGTCCAATGGGAACAGGTCCATGGTGGGGTCCAGGGATGGGGATGTCCAATGGGAACGGGTCCATGGTGGGGTCCAGGGATGGGGACGTCCAATGGGAACGGGTCCATGGTGGGGTCCAGGGATGGGGATGTCCAATGGGAACGGGTCCATGGTGGGGTCCAGGGATGGGGACGTCCAATGGGAACGGGTCCATGGTGGGATGCAGGGATGGGGACGTCCAATGGGAACGGGTCCATGGTGGGGTCCAGGGATGGGGATGTCCAATGGGAACGGGTCCATGGTGGGGTCCAGGGAGGCCATGGTGGGGTCGTCCAATGGGAACGGGTCCATGGTGGGGTCGTCCAATGGGAACGGGTCCATGGTGGGGTCGTCCAATGGGAACAGGTCCATGGTGGGGTCCAGGGATGGGGATGTCCAATGGGAACGGGTCCATGGTGGGGTCCGGGGATGGGGATGTCCAATGGGAACGGGTCCATGGTGGGGTCGTCCAATGGGAACGGGTCCATGGTGGGGTCCAGGCCATGGGGATGGGGATGGCCAATGGGAACGGGTCCATGGTGGGGTCCAGGCCATGGGGATGGGGATGTCCAATGGGAACGGGTCCATGGTGGGGTCCAGGGATGGGGATGTCCAATGGGAACGGGTCCATGGTGGGGTCCAGGGATGGGGATGTCCAATGGGAACGGGTCCATGGTGGGGTCCAGGGATGGGGATGTCCAATGGGAACGGGTCCATGGTGGGGTCCAGGGATGGGGATGTCCAATGGGAACGGGTCCATGGTGGGGTCCAGGGATGGGGATGTCCAATGGGAACGGGTCCATGGTGGGGTCCAGGGATGGGGATGTCCAATGGGATTGGATCCCAAATGTGGCTCCATGATGGATTCCAGCCCATGGGAATGGGTGAAGATGGTCAATGGGAGCATCTCCAATGGGATCCCATCCCAAATGTGGGTCCGTGGTGGATCTAAGGATGTGGAGATGGAAGAAGATGGTCAGATGGTGAACCTCCAATGGGATCTGGTCTGGATGGAGATGATCCCCATGGTCCTTATGGATGGAGATGATCCCATGGTCCTTATGGATGAGGATGGAGATGATCCCCATGGTCCTTATGGATGAGGATGGAGATGATCCCCATGGTCCCTATGGATTAGGATGGAGATGATCCCCATGGTCCCTATGGATGAGGATGGAGATGATCCCCATGGTCCTTATGGATGGAGATGATCCCCATGGTCCCTATGGATGGGGATGGAGATGATCCCCATGGTCCTTATGGATGGAGATGATCCCCATGGTCCTTATGGATGAGGATGGAGATGATCCCCATGGTCCTTATGGATGGAGATGATCCCCATGGTCCTTATGGATGAGGATGGAGATGATCCCCATGGTCCTTATGGATGAGGATGGAGATGATCCCCATGGTCCCTATGGATGAGGATGGAGATGATCCCCATGGTCCTTATGGATGAGGATGGAGATGATCCCCATGGTCCTTATGGATGAGGATGGAGATGATCCCCATGGTCCTTATGGATGAGGATGGAGATGATCCCCATGGTCCTTATGGATGAGGATGGAGATGATCCCCATGGTCCTTATGGATGGAGATGATCCCCATGGTCCTTATGGATGAGGATGGAGATGATCCCCATGGTCCTTATGGATGGAGATGATCCCCATGGTCCTTATGGATGAGGATGGAGATGATCCCCATGGTCCTTATGGATGAGGATGGAGATGATCCCCATGGTCCCTATGGATGAGGATGGAGATGATCCCCATGGTCCCTATGGATGAGGATGGAGATGATCCCCATGGTCCCTATGGATGAGGATGGAGATGATCCCCATGGTCCTTATGGATGAAGATGCTGATGGCCACCATGGTCCATGGCCACCATTGGGTCCCCTTTGGTCCTTGTAGAAGAGAAGAAGTAGGAGCTACACCCACAACGCATCCTGGTGCCCATCACCGCGACCTCCCAGTCCCTCCCAGTCCCTCCCAGTCCCTCCCAGTCCAACCCTAGAAGCCCCTTGAAGGCCCCTCCCAGGACCTCCAGGGCAAAAGAGCGGGTCCATCCGGTTCCCAGCCAATCCCAGTTGAGCCCCAACCGCCGCCACCGGCTTGAACTGGCCTGAACTGGCCTGAACTGGGATGAACTGGGCTGGGCTGGGGCTGACTCAGCTCCTTCAGCCTCACCCAGCACTCGCGGCAGCCAATCGGGTGCGGCTCCTCTAGCCTCGACCAATCAGGTGGCGGCTGCTCTCGCCTCCACCAATCAGGTGGCGGCTCCTCAAGAGCTCCCCCGGGGGGGGTGTTAATTGAGGGAGCTCATTAAGGTCATTAAGCAACTGGGAGGGACGCACGGGTTTAAACTGGGCCCAGTTCACTTCTTCCCCCCCCCCCCATGGATTGAATGGGGGGATCAATGAGGAGGGTCCCAGTTGCTCCCAGTTACCACCAGTTCCTTCCCAGTTAACCCCAGTGTCCCCCAATTGCTCCCAGTTACCCCCAGTTCCTTCCCAGTTACCCCCAGTTCCTTCCCAGTTACCCGCAGTGTCCGCCAATTGCTCCCAGTTACCCCCAGTTCCTTCCCAGTTACTCCCAGTTCCTTCCCAGTTACCCCCAGTGTCTGCCAATTGCTCCCAGTTACCCCCAGTTCCTTCCCAGTTAACCCCAGTGTCCGCCAATTGCTCCCAGTTACCCCCAGTTCCTTCCCAGTTACCCCCAGTGTCCCCCAATTGCTCCCAGTGGCTGAGAGGGGGTTTAGTGGGGTCCCAGTAAGCTCTAGAGGGGGGTAACTGGGATGAACTGGGTGGTTCCCACAGGGTCCTAGCGCCCCCCATAAGGTCCCAATGGCACCCACAGGGTCCTAGCGCCCCCCAGCCCCATCCCCCCCCATTCACTGCCCCCATTCACAAAACTTGGGGTTTTTTCCAGTTTATTTTTATAAGAAACCTCTATTTTCCACCCCTCCCCCCCCCCAAACCCTAAAATCGCGAGAATTTGCCCCAAAACGGCAGAGGGGGCGGGGCCAGCGCTGGTCCCGCCCCCCGAAGGGGGGGAGGGGGAGGAGGAGGCGGTGTCACTTCTCCTTTGGGGGGGGCCTGAGGGGGGGAAAAAACACAACTGAGTCACGTGACCCTGGTCTCCCCTCCCAGTGCCTCCCAATGCCCTCATATTCCCCTCCAGTCCCTCCCAGTCTATCCCCAGTTCATCCCAATGCCTCCCAATCCCCTCCCAGTCCACCCCAGTGCCCTCCAATTCCCTCCCAGTCCATCCCAGTTCCCTTCCAGACCATCCCAGTCTATCCCAATGCCCTCTAACCTCCTCCCAGTCCCTTCCAGACCATCCCAGTCCCTCCCAATCCATCCCAGTGCCTTCTAATCTCCTCCCAGTCCATCCCAATGCCCTCCAATCCCCTCCCAGTCCCTTCCAGTCTATCCCAGTCCCTCCCAGTCTATCCCAATCCCCTCCCAATCTATCCCAGTGCTTCCAATTCCCTTCCAGTCCCTTCCAGTCTATCCCAATCCCCTCCCAGTCTACCCCAGTGCCCTCCAATCCCCTCCCAGTCCCTCCCAGTCTATCCCAATCCCCTCCCAATCCATCCCAGTGCCTTCCAATTCCCTCCCAGTCCCTTCCAGTCTATCCCAATCCCCTCCCAGTCTACGCCAGTGCCCTCCAAGCCCCTCCCAGTCCCTTCCAGTCCATCCCAATGCCCTCCAGTCCCTATCCCAGTGCCCTCCCAGTGCCTTCTAATACCCCTCAGTCTACCCCAGTGCCCTCCAATCCCCTTCCAGTCCATCCCAATGCCCTCCAATCCCTTCCCAGTCCTCTCCAGTCTATCCCAATCCCCTCCCAGTCTACCCCAGTGCCCTCCAATCCCCTCCCAGTCCCTTCCAGTCTATCCCAGTCCCTCCCAGTCCACCCCAGTGCCCTCCAATCCCCTCCCAATCCATCCCAATCCCCTCCCAGTCTACCCCAGTCCCCTCCAATCCCCTCCCAGTACCTCCCAGTCCCTCCCAGTCCCTATCCCAGTACCTTCCAACACCCCCCCCCTCAATCCATCTCCCTCCCCAGCTCCCCCCATCCACCAGGGGGCGCCCTCACCCCACCCACCTGTAGACGCCCACGACCACGGCGTGGTCCCTCTCGTAGGGCTCCAGCGTCAGCTGCTCCTGAGGCTTCATCCTCTCGGCCGCCATGCGCCGGACCTCCCCCGCGAACACGGCCTCGGGCGCCGCCGTCGAGTCGATGCAGTTGGCCTGAGGGGGGGGGGGAGACGAGTGAGAGCGCCCCCTGGTGGGCTGGAGGTGAATGGGGATAAAACACCCCCCGGAGGTGAAGGGGATGGGGGGGACACG